CTGAACTCTTAGCAGAATTGCCTGCATTTGGGTTCTGATGCAAAACACAGACCAAACATTGGAATTAAGCTCTGAAACTCATAGCGGAGTCTTATCACACTAATTCTAGATCCCTCTATCATTTTCAGGTCTATCCAATAAGGTTTGATAGGCCTTTCATGCTTTGTCGTCATAGATAAGCCTGAACTCTCAGCAGAATTGCCTGCTTTTGGGTTCTGATGCAAAACACAGACCAAACATTGGAATTAAGCTCTGAAACTCATAGTGGAGTCTTATCACACTAAATCTAGATCCCTCTATCAGTTTCAGGTCTATCCAATAAGGTTTGATAGGCCTTTCATGCTTTGTCGTCATAGATAAGCCTGAACTCTCAGCAGAATTGCCTGCATTTGGGTTCTGATGCAAAACACAGACCAAACATTGGAATTAAGCTCTGAAACTCATAGGGGAGTCTCATCACACAAATTCTAGACCCCCCTATTTTTTTCAGGTTAAACCATTAAGGTTTGATAGGCCTTTCATGCTTTGTCGTCATAGATAAGCATGAACTCTCAGCAGAATTGCCTGCATTTGGGTTCTGATGCAAAACACTGACCAACCATTGGAATTAAGCTCTGAAACTCATAGGGGAGTCTCATCACACAAATTCTAGATCCCCCTATTATTTTCAGGTCAAACCATTAAGGTTTGATAGGCCTTTCATGCTTTGTCGTCATATATAAGCATAAACTCTCAGCAGAATTGCCTGCATTTGGGTTCTGATGCAAAACACAGACCAAACATTGGAATTAAGCTCTGAAACTCATAGTGGAGTCTTATCACACTAATTCTAGATCCCTCTATCATTTTCAGGTCTAACCAATAAGGTTTGATAGGCCTTTCATGCTTTGTCGTCATAGATAAGCATGAACTTTCAGCAGAATTGCCTGCATTTGGGTTCTGATGCAAAACACAGACCAAACATTGGAATTAAGCTCTGAAACTCATAGTGGAGTCCTTTCACACTAATTCTAGATCCCTCTATCATTTTCAGGTCTATCCAATAAGGTTTGTTAGGCCTTTCATGCTTTGTCGTCATAGATAAGCCTGAACTCTCAGCAGAATTGCCTGCATTTGGGTTCTGATGCAAAACACAGACCAAACATTGGAATTAAGCTCTGAAACTCATAGTGGAGTCTTATCACACTAATTCTAGATCCCTCTATCATTTTCAGGTCTATCCAATAAGGTTTGATAGGCCTTTCATGCTTTGTCGTCATAGATAAGCATGAACTCTCAGCAGATTTGCCTGCATTTGGGTTCTGATGCAAAACACATACCAAACGTTGGAATGAAGCTCTGAAACTCATAGGGGAGTCTCATCACACAAATTCTAGATCCCCCTATTTTTTTCAGGTCAAACCATTAAGGTTTGATAGGCCTTTCATGCTTTGTCGTCATAGATAAGCATGAACTCTCAGCAGAATTGCCTTCATTTGGGTTCTGATGCAAAGCACAGACCAAACATTGGAATTAAGCATGTGAAGAAGGTTATCTTTGTTTCTTCCTATGTTGTTGTGTTATGTAGGTCACTAAAGTCCAAGGAATCATAAATGCTAGAACACTTTGTGGTTTATTACAACCAACAGTATCACATGTTTTTAGGGGTTGTACACAGTCCAACCTTAGAGCAGCTAGTAAAGAGTACAAGCCTCACCCGTTCGAAAGTTCAGATTCGAAAACCTAATTCGAAGCTGAGTGTCTTGGCAACCAGCGTTGCAGTAGGCACCTTCGTTTTAGGTCATTCCCGCCATGATTTTCCCACGGTGTAACGAGCGCGACCCGACAGGGGTTGGTTGATTGCTGATGCATAGGCGATCAGTGCGCCTCGGGTGTTGTCACTTGTATCTATCGCTCTGACCTCGTAGCGTCACGCCTCAAGGATGTCTTTGATGTGAGCTATTAAGGCTCTCAATCCGCAATGCAGTCACAAACCGTTGTAAGATTAACGTCAGCTCATATTAGGTCGGCCTAGGGGATGGACTGTCCCACCTTCGTCAGGTGTAGGTTCTGTAGTGCTCATTTTGCCAACTCGCAAAAGTTGGGGAGGCACCTAGCAGGCAACAAGGAGTGCTCTGAGGGGCACTATAGTGCACCCGCCCCACCCGCCCCTGCCAGTTTCGATCGGCGTGGTGGAGTGGTTTTTTACATCCCATGTCGCGGACGTGGGTCCCCAGGCGGAGGCGCCACCAACGTCTCTGTGGATGATCTAGTGCAATCCGAAAATGAAGGCAGCAGTTCAACAGACGTTCCCCAGAGTGTCAACCGGGGCACAGAAGAGATGGATGGCGGAGGTGCGGAGGAGATGGAAAGCGAGCGCACGGAGCAGAGTGAGGCAGCGGAAAGTGATGGAGAGGACACCCCAGCCCCATGTATGGCTGCTGACACCTCCTGCTCCAGTGGCATGGTGGAATCGGACGTAGGTGCTACTCCTCCTGGACCCCGAGTCAACTGGCACCCCGCCCTACTGAAGCTGCTGGAATTTCTAGACACCGCCAATGGGGGAATGAGCCTATCGAAGATGGACAAGGGCAAACTGATACAACTGCTGCTTGTTCCAGAGTTGGCGCACGTGCTAGTTGCTGAGAATCTGAGGACATGCCGAGACCTGGAGCGCCTTCAGCTCGAGTATATCGCGGGCACCGGAAGAGGATTCCTCACCACAACTTTCGTCGTAGAGGGCTACCCACCACAAGTCCTCTACCACCGGGACATCATGCGGGTGAGCCATCGTTTTTTGTTTATGCTCTCTCCCACCCCTATTTCAATTATGCTAGTCTTGATGCGCGTGTGACCTTGCTCTACAACCATGTTATCTGTGATGCTGCTCTCATACGCAATTGCTTGTGTTCACTTACTTCCATAATCTGTAATATGTGTGTGCTTTATCTCTCATGCCCGCTAATCTATGCTGATTACATCTCATACCCCACTGCTTTTGTTCAATCTCTCTTTCAACTGGGCGTCTGTTCTGAAGCGCTCTCATACCTCACAAGTTGATGCACCCTTCCTCTCGCACCATGTTTTGTATGCTGTTTTGCACACACACCTTACTGCTTTTGTTCATGTGCTATCCGACCAGGCATGTTTTCAAAGCTGTGTTGCTCTCATACCTTTAATCTGACAGTGCCCGTCATCTCCCACCCTGTTGTGTTGCTCCAACACCCTTACTACTCATATGCATACAAGCCCTGTGTCCTATGCTATGTTGCTCCCATACCTTAATTCTTGCGTTCCCTTCCTCTACAACCCTGCGTCCTATGCTGTTTTGCTCTCACACCTTAGTGCCTGTGTTCAATTGCTCTCAAACCAACCCTGTTTCCTATGCTGATTTGAAACCATACCTTAATGCTGGTGTTCCCTTCCTCTACAACCCTGTTTTCTATGCTGTTTTGCACTCTCTCCTTGCTGTCTGTGAGACCCCGCTCTCCGAACCACCATTTCTTCGGAGCTGTTTTGCGCTCATATTTTGCTCCTCTTCTTACCTTCCTCTCCAGCACTGATTTATATGCTGTTTTGCTCTCACAACTTTCTGCCTGTGTTCCCTTCATGTAGAACACTGTTTTGTAGGATGTTGTGGTCTCATACGTTTTTGCTTGTGTTCCATTTCTCTCCCGGCCTAATTTCTGTAAAGTTTACATTCCCTTGCTATCCAACCTTCTGACCCGGTTTCATCACTATTCGCTGTCAGGAACTGGCACGAATGTTTGGCCACCCACACAATGCCAAGGGCTTCCGCTTCAGGCCTAAAGTCGTTGTTGACGGAGACACAAACGAGCGAACATACACAACGGCTGAAACTGGCACATGGTGGAATGACGCGCAGGTACTGACCTTTGTGGACCCTAGCTCATGTTTTTGGCACCGCATTGTAGTTTGTGCTTATGTTCCGAATGTGCAAGTTGTCGTCAAATGACTTGAATGGACCATGGCGTGTCACCCTCATAATGTTGGTGGAACGATCCAACATTTACCCCTATTATCTTGTGGCAGGCATTCGTCGGACCAGAGGTGGTTATTGCGGCCTTACTATTCTACAGTGACGTGACACACCTGAGCAACAACGGGCGTAAGAAGGCGCACCCAGTAATGATGACTCTTGCCAACATTCCATTGCCCAAACGGTGGGGGGAAGCGGGACATTCGCTGCTGGCGTTATTGCCCATCCCCCCCAAGGGAATGCCGTCTCGAGTGAAGACGGAGCTTTTCAACAAATGCATCGCCAAGATAATGGAACCTATTCGACAGGCCAAAGAGAGGTTTGCTCACTCCCCCAATGCTGGACCCCCCAGCTCCCACCACTTGCTGACACGAAGTATGCTGCCCCCATCACCCCCCCTCTTCCCCCCCCCCACCACCTCCCCTGGCTCACTCGACCAATGCTGGACCCCCCTCCCCTTTGCTCACTCGCCCAATGCTGATTCCCCCCCCGCCCTTGCTCACTCGGCCAATGCTGAACTTGCTCACTCGCACAATGCTGAAATCCCTACCTTGCCCACTCGCCCAGTGCTGTTTTTTTCCCGTTTGTCATCCAGACGTTTAGAAGTACCTCCCATGGTCACTTGTCCACTGGTCATTCACCCCATCCTCTGATGCATGCTCCGCGTGTCCCCTCATGCTCAACTCTACCTCCACCCGACCGCAGAGGGGTAATGCTAGAGGATGCCGACGGCGATTTGCACAACGTGATCCCCATGTTTTACGGCTGGGCGTGTGACTACCCTGAGTCAGGGAAAGTCACCTGCACGCTATCCGGGCAGGGGTGCAGCAAGCCATGCAGCCTTTGCTATGTGGACAAGGTGTGGTGCCGCCCTTTCAGGCCAACTTGCGAATGCTGCCTTGTGTAGCCCGTTTTATCAATCAAGCTTCTCTCAGCCCGTTCTTGATGTGACCATTGCACATGTACTGTCCTTTTTGTGGCTTTGCACATGCATTAGTCACCCTGGTTCCTTGTTTGTTCCTTACATCTTTGAACCGTCCTCCCCATACCCTTTCTGCTTTGATGGTGGTGCTTTGTGTGATCGTTGCCAGGAGAACTTGTCATCTGTCCACCTCGAGAACAGCATGCGCACGCCGGAGCTGCAACAATTGATTCGAGATCAACCCCCACCGACGACTCGTCCACGTGGGGAATCGAGCTTGAAGCGTTTCTCCACATTTGATGTTGACGTACGTTGAAGCGACGCAGCTCGTGTTCATATCCTCACTGCTCATATCCCCACTGCTCATATCCCCACTGCTCATATCATCACTGCTCATATCCCCACTGCTCATATCCCCACTGCTCATATCCCCACTGCTCATATCCCCACTGCTCATATCCTCACTGCTCATATCCCCACTGCTCATATCCCCACTGCTCATATCCCCACTGCTCATATCCTCACTGCTCATATCCTCACTGCTCATATCCCCACTGCTCATATCCCCACTGCTCATATCCTCACTGCTCATATCCCCACTGCTCATATCATCACTGCTCATATCCTCACTGCTCATATCCCCACTGCTCATATCCCCACTGCTCATATCCTCACTGCTCATATCCCCACTGCTCATATCATCACTGCTCATATCCCCACTGCTCATATCCCCACTGCTCATATCCCCACTGCTCATATCCCCACTGCTCATATCCCCACTGCTCATATCCCCACTGCTCATATCCTCACTGCTCATATCCCCACTGCTCATATCCCCACTGCTCATATCCCCACTGCTCATATCCCCACTGCTCATATCCCCACTGCTCATATCCCCACTGCTCATATCCCCACTGCTCATATCCCCACTGCTCATATCCCCACTGCTCATATCCCCACTGCTCATATCCCCACTGCTCATATCCCCACTGCTCATATCCCCACTGCTCATATCCTCACTGCTCATATCCCCACTGCTCATATCCCCACTGCTCATATCCCCACTGCTCATATCCCCACTGCTCATATCCCCACTGCTCATATCCCCACTGCTCATATCCCCACTGCTCATATCCCCACTGCTCATATCCTCACTGCTCATATCCAATTGACAACTAGGTTGTTGTCCTCTGGATGACCATTTAGGGTTGTTGTACTAGTACCCTGAACCAGAGCACCTAGACCCTGAAAAGTTACAGGTTTCCCCTCTGTGTCATCATCCTCGTGCTCTCTCAATCCTATCCCGTAGTGTGCGCTTTGGATGTGGACCGTCGAGGGAACGCTGTGGGGCAATCCGTACTTGGCAGTGATGCCGGATATAATGCACCAAGCTGACCTTGGATTGCTGGACCACATCGTGAGGAGCATTCGGATGCTGATTCCTGCAGCGCTACCCACTCTGGACCAGTGAGTAGCTTTGTGTTTTGGTTTTGTTGGTTCAATTGATTCCAATAAAAGCACCTTGAATAGTGTCTCTGTTCCATTTACAAATCATACTGCATGCTTGTGGTGCAGGCGGCTGAAAGAGCTCAGGGGAGTGACCCGAATCAGCAGTATGCGGCTGCCATCCAACGAGTATTTCGTGTCGGGTGCTCAGACTGCAGCATTTGAACACAGAGCTGTGATGCAGGTGGGTAATGTGACTATATTGGGTGTCCAACACCTCGGATTTGCAATGTGTGATGGCCTTGCATGCCACGGTTTCTGACCTTGAACACAATAGATGCCCTCAATGCTCCCGTATGCTTCGTTCTCCTGCCTCAGATTCTCATCTTCTTAGTGGCAGACAAACTGGGTGCCTCTCAGCTAGACGCAATCAGAGCATATCTCACGTGGTACCTTGCCTGCTACGCTCCGTCGCACACCGAGCAATCTTTGAGAGCGCTTCAAGAATATGCTGAAAGGTACGTATACTCTAAACCGCCACCATGCACTGCTCATATATGTTTGGGGCATGGTGGTGACTCTTTAGGCCTCTGCTTTTTAGATTGATGTATGGTAGCCTTGTACGTCAGTTCTGCTTTTTTCAAACATGATGTTTGCTGTCAGTGGTAGCTACTCGTTACCACCCCCCTGCACCTCACCAATGCGCCTTTTACACCCTGTTTACCTCCGCAATGTGCCTTGTCCCCCTTGTGTACCTCCCCATTGTGCCTTATACCTTGCTTGCTTACCACCCCATTGTGCCATATCCCACCAGTTTACCTACCCTTTGCGCCTTACCCCCCCCTGTCTACCTCCCCAATGTGCCCTATCTCTTTGTTCACCTCCCCAATGTGCCATATCCCATTTGTTTACGTCCCATTGTGCCTTATGCCCCGTTTTTACCTCCCATTTGCTTTGTCCATCCGTGTTTACATTCCATTGTGCCTTGTCCCCCCCGTGTTTACGTTCCATTGTGCCTTATACAGCCATGGTGCCCAATAGTGGTGCCCCATTGGGCCATATTCCCCCTGTTTACCTCTCCAACGTGCCATACTTCCTTTGTTCACATCCCATCGTGACCTATCCCCCCTATTAACCTCGCCATTGCGCCATAACCCACTAGAAACCCTACCCTTTGTGCCTCATCCTCCCTGTTTACCTCCTCAAAGTGCCTAATCCTCCCTGTTTACCTCTCCAATGTGCCAGATCCCCTTTGTTTTCCTCCCATTTTGCCTCTCCCCCCCTGGTTACCTCCCATTGTTCCCTATCCCCCCGTGTTTACCTCCCATTGTGCCTCACCCCACTTTTCTTTACTCACATTGTGGCTCATCCCCCTGTGTTTACCTTCCTTAACCCCCTGCCCCCCCTGTTTACCTCTCCAACGTGCCATATTCCCTTTGATTGCCTCCCATTGTGCCTTAACCCCCCTGTTTACCTCCTCATTGCTCCTTATCCCCCCATGTTTACCTCCCATAATGCCATATCCCCCCGTGTTTACCTCCCATTTTGCCTTATCCCCTCTATTTACCTCTCTCACTTGCCATATTCACTTTGTCTATCTCCCACTGTGACTCAACCCCCCTGTTTACCTCCCCACCCTAAACCTTATCCCCCGGTGTTTACCTCTGCAATGTACCTTATCCCCCCGTGTTTACCTCCCATTATGCCTTATCCCCCCGTGTTTACCTCCCTTTGTGCCTTATCCCCCCTGTTTACCTCTCTCACATGCCAGATTCCCTTTGTCTATCTCCCACTGTGACTCAACCCCCCTGTTTACCTCCCCATCGTACCTTATCCCTCCGTGTTAACCTCCCCATCGTACCTTATTCCCCCGTGTTTACCTCCCCATTGTACCTTATCCCCTCGTGTTTACCTCCCCATTGTACCTTATTCCCCCGTGTTTACCTCCCCATTGTACCTTATCCCCCCGTGTTTACCTCCCATTATGCCTTATCCCCCCGTGTTTACCTCCCTTTGTGCCTTCTCCCCCCTGTTTACCTCTCTCACATGCCAGATTCCCTTTGTCTATCTCCCACTGTGACTCAACCCCCCTGTTTACCTCCCCATCGTACCTTATCCCTCCGTGTTAACCTCCCCATCGTACCTTATTCCCCCGTGTTTACCTCCCCACTGTACCTTATCCCCTCGTGTTTACCTCCCCATTGTACCTTATTCCCCCGTGTTTACCTCCCCATTGTACCTTATCCCCCCGTGTTTACCTCCCCATTGTACCTTATCCCCTCGTGTTTACCTCCCCATCGTACCTTATTCCCCCGTGTTTACCTCCCCATTGTACCTCATCCCCTCGTGTTTACCTCCCCATTGTACCTTATTCCCCCGTGTTTGCCTCCCCATTGTACCTTATCCCCCCGTGTTTACCTCCCCATTGTACCTTGTCCCCTCGTGTTTACCTCCCCATTGTGCCTTATCCCCATCGTTTACCTCTCCATTGTGCTATAACACCCCTGTAAACCTCCTGTTTTGTCACAAAATGCCTGCTAACATCCCCACTGCTCACATCCCAGTTGCACCATAAACCTATTGCTCCAATACCCACTGTTCCCATCCCCATTGCTCCCATCCTTGTTGCTTCCATCCCCACTGCTCGCATACCCACTGCCCACATCCTCATTGCTCACATCCCCGCTGCTCCCATCCCCACTGCTCCCATCCCCACTGCTCCCATCCCCATTGCTCCCATCCCCATTGCTCCCATCCCCATTGCTCCCATCCCCATTGCTCCCATCCCCATTGCTCCCGTCGCCATTGCTCCCGTCGCCATTGCTCTTGTACCCCTTGCTCCATTCCCAGTACTTCCAGCCCCACTGCTCACATCCCTACTGCTCCTAAACCCACCGATCACATCTCCCTAGCTCACATCCCCGTTGCCTCCATCCCCACTACTCACATCCCTGCTGCTCACATACCCACTTCTCCCATTTCCAATGCTCTCATCCCAACTGCTCACATCCGCATTGGTCCCATCCTCGTTGGTCCCATCCCTATTGCTCCCCTCCCCACTGCTCCCATCCCCATTCCGCATATCATGCAATTCTCTTGACTACTGCGTCTGACAACTCACCTGTTGAACCTCAATCTGACCTCCAGTCTTACCTCTCCTCTTTCACCCCTATGCATCCGTGGCAGGCTTGTGGAGTTGCTGAAGCAAGCCTTCCCGGAGCAGGCTTCTGCGTGGAATCTTGTGAAGACGCATCTCATGACGCACTTTGCTCAAGCAATTCGTCGTGCAGGATATGTGCACGAGTACAGCACGAACACCTTTGAGCACTTGCATGGGCCGCTGCTCAAACAGGTGTATCGACGTTCAAACAAACGGAACGCAGACTCGCAGATCATGAAGCATCATGAGCTGCGCCTGGATTTCACACTTGTCGAGGAAAATGAGAATGGTCGACAGATGGCAATGCAGAAGGTACTGTACAGCAACTCTTTCAGATTGCATGCTAGGATTTATGGGCACTTGATGTCGCTTACTTGTGCGTAATATGTGCAGGCAATAGAAGAAGGGAGAAGGGTCATGACAAGAGACTCATACTCCTTGCAAGTCGATCCGACAGAGTTCCGATCACGAAATTGGTTCGCGCAAATGTGGGCGCAACAACACGTCGAGGCTCACATTCAGTTCAAGAGTGCCCTTGCACGTCGGCAGCTGGCGCCAGCCACAGTTAGGGTGAGAATGAGATATTGCTACAGGGGGGAACATTGACTAACAAGGTATTCCGCTAATATGTCGGCATTTCCATTGATGCAGGCCCACACAACTCTTGCGATCCCTGCAGCCGAAGACGCTGGTTTTGCTCGAACCGCCCATTTTCTCAAGGCAACGCCAAAGTCCCATGACAAGCCTTGGTTCTCAGATGTGGCAATCAAAGGGGAAACAAGAGAGGGGAGTGATGAGGAGTGGTATGGAAGACTCCTCTTGATTTTCCAGGCCAAGCATAGAGGGGTCACCCATGACTTGGCCTTAGTTAGGTATTGGTCTGCGGCAGGCGAAGACACGAAAACCGGATGCAAGCGTCTGACATGGACGACTGGCACCTCCCAGTATTCAGTCATTGACTGCGATTCGATAAAAAGGCAGGTGCAGGTCGTGAAGTCGTTCCACAGTGCGAACTCGTTTTACTTGAATAAGTACCTGTTGTAGGTTTTACGTGTGATTCCAGTAATAATAATGACACTCTGAATGATGCATGCACTTTCAATAAATATGTTTTCTGGTTCTATTTATACGTATGGGCGTTCCAGCATTCCTTAAGAGTTAACACAAATCATTGCATACATATTCCACAAACCAATTACTCATAAGAAAAGCAGGCCAAAGTTGGCCTGGAATTGTTCCGAAATGGGTCCACCCCTGTGGGTCCGAAGCGCCAAGCTGCTCGCGCGGACAAAAGTTGCTCCACGAAATTGGAAAATTTCGCGGGTCGACTCTCTCAGCCTCGAAACTCTGCTTTCAACGAAGTCAAAGCCAGGACAGCACACCATAAATTGGCCAACATTCGGCCAATCTGGTTTCGCCGCGGCGCTATCTGTTTTGCGAGTCGGGTGGATGCCGCGAAAACAACCCAAACATTGAGAAGCGACGCATTTCGCAGGAGGTTGGGCGAAAAAAATTGCAGCACCCACGCAAACCCAACTTCAGAGCCCATCTTCAAC